TAGCTCTTAAAATTTGGCGCTTTTAAAAAAAAATTAGATGTTTCTTGCTGTCCAGTACTATATTAGTTTTAAATAGATATTTTTAGTAAAATGTTACTTGGTATAATATTAGCTAAATAAGTTGTTAATAAAATAATTATCAGTAAAATAATACAGACTTTTAAATAGTAAATGAGTATAAAGATGATTTGTTAATATTAATTAGTTTTTTAAAATTATAAATATAAATACTTGTTAGTAAATACTTATCTTTAAATACTTCTTTGCAATTAATTACTTAATACTTTTCAAATAGTCTATAAGTATAAAGATAATTTATTAATATTAATCAGTTTTATTAAAATTATAAATATAAATACCTATTCATAAATATTTAACTGAATATTATACAAAAGGTCTAGTAATCTTAGTATAGTAGTTAGATTACCAAACTACTATACAAGAGGTTTGAGGTTCAAATCTCACTGTTAATAAATTTGAATAATATCTAGATCTTTGTATCATACTTACAGTAAACTCTATCTGTTTCTGAAGTTGTAACTCTGTAAATCTTATTGTACTAATATCATCTAGATATTAGAAATACAATATAATATTGCATAAATAAATCTTAATAGAATCTATAAGCAAAAGACCTGCATGGTAAAAACCCTATATTGGCAAAGTAGTATAGCTTTTAATAGTTATACTAGCTAATACTTGATCTAAATAGAATCTGTTACTCAAAAGATATAGATCAAGTTAGATATAAATAAGTCTATTCTATAGAGAAGATTAGCAATACTAACTTGGCTTAGTAGCTAACTAGATTTGAGAGAATCTACTTTGTAAAATATCTAGAGAAATTAGCAAACAATATCAGTGAAGAGCTACAGTAGGAACTAGGGTCATATAAATATCATAAGAGTCTAAACTAAGTAAACTTATAAAATAGGTATAAGCTGCTCTTATAGATATACTTATGAGTTAACTGGAGTTTTACATACTTATAATATATTAAGCAATATGTATTCTGAGAGAACCTAAGTTAAATTAAATAAATAGATCTGTAACAAGCTAGCTAGCTTAAATAATTAGATATTACAGTAACATTAGTTGATTCTAGTATAGATTAGTTAGACAAAATATTTAAATTAGTAACTCACAAGTAGATTACAAGTATAGTAGCTTATGTAAAACCAAACAACCTCTCTATTTCTGGAAACTATCTCTAAGCTAACTTACTTAAATTAGATAATAACTAAAGTTATATATGTAGCAGGTTGTTTACTCTTTAGAGAATTGTCAACAGATGATTTTATATACTAACTAATAAAATCTGCTTAGTAAAGTAAGCTGCTTTAATAATAATAATAATAATAATAAAAAACTGAATATTATACAAAGATATCTGCATTATAAAATACTTTTATTTTTCTTAAATATTATTAATAAATATATTTTTTACTTCTAATTAATACTTATTATATTTCTTCTAAATTTATTATAAATAATATTAAAGATAAATTATTTATTATAAAAATCTGATAATTATACTTATTTTTTTGTTTTAGCTCAAATAATATATATAATTTCTTAAAAAATCTCTTATCAGTACTTATTATATAATAAGTAACTAACTATATAATAGAGTTATACAAAACCAAGAATAATAATTCAATGCATTAAAATTAGATATTATAAAGAAAACTTCTTGAATTTATTTTATATAAATACATATTAGATTTTAGCATGAATATAGAATTTAAGTTTAAAATAGATTAATTAAGTTATTTAATTTATACTCACTTCTGATAAAGTTTATATTTTTGCTAAATGCATATTAATTTATATATAATAAAAATAGTAATATAATAAACTACTATTATTATATTAAAAAATTTATTTTACATTTTAGTATAATATTGTATTGAGTATAGATATCCAATTATACTTAGGCTTTTAAAAAAAGTATTGTAAAATAGTTAAAAAAAATTTTAATTGAATTATTTATATTATAATCTACAAACTCCTATTTTATTTTTTTTTTTAAATTTGGCAGCCATGCCTCAACTTTATTCAAACAGTTTGTGAACAAACTTTTTACATACAAACTCCTATTTTAAATTTACTTAAAACATATTGAATAACTATATTATTAATCAAATTGTAGCTAATTAATGCTGATTTCTTTATAGTAGATATTGAGCATATAATATAAGTTTTAGCTACATCATATATATAGTATTTACTATGAATAATTAATTATCATCTACAATATAACTAATAATAAGTATAATATATATTAATTATTATAATAATTAATTGTAGATTAGCTCTAATTTAATTGATTTTTATAGTATTAAAAATAGAGTAAACTATTATACTAACAAGACTTATATTTAAACAAATCCAGATCAAGTAAATACAAAATTAAATAGTTTAACAAAAAAGAAAAAATAGCACTACTATTTAAAATAGAAAATTTTTATTATTACTAGCTTATCTAGAGTAATATAAATTCTATGAATTCTTAAACTCTTAAAAATCTTGTAATTATTAACATTTGCAGAATCATTATAATTTCTATAATTAGCAGTATAACAAAAATCTACTAAATGACTAGTATAGTAATTATTAGCTAAAATAGTAGAATAGAAATTATAGTTAAAATCATTAGTATTACTAATATTATATTATATATGTAAAAATAATATATATAGAATAAATATTTTCTCTTAATAAAGCAACTTAGTGTTCTGATTTTTTGAAATTATAATTAGTAGAAGTTTCCAAGTTTAAAAATTTCTTTTTGTAATAAATTTTGTTGTTTAAACCATCCTTGTTGAAAATCATTATTGTATTAAACTCATGATATTTCTTTATTATTTAGTAGTTCAAATTTATGCTTCTATAATACTGAAATTATGTAATCATAGACTTACTCAAGTAACTCAATAATTCAGTCCAAGTTAATCCTCACCTTTTTCAAGCCTTCCAGGTTAAAGTTATATTCAAGTTGAATTTTTGAACTTTCAGATTATTTGTATAAATTAGTTAGTTCTGAATCTTCATTTAGCTATATCTTCAAATAAATTCTATCTATAACCAATTTAAACCTTTACAATACTCTTCAATATATAATACAATATAGTATATTTATAACTTCCTTTAACAATTCAAGCACCTAGTTGATTTAGTTAATTACTTGGATTATCATAGATAAGTTTATTTGATACATGTATCATAACCATAATCAATTTAACTATAAAACAACTTGATCCGCATAAGATACATATTTAATTACAAATATGCAAGTAAAATTCAAAAAAAAAACAAAGTTCCCTTCGCAAAAAGAAAAGGTATGAATCTTGATTAAAATGTTTATTGTATTTGTTGTGGTATATTTAATAATTATTTTTTTTTAAGGATGACTTTAAGTTACTTGAAAGAAACGAATTTGGAAAAGCATATCGTCACGGGGTAAAAGTGACATTTCCGAAATCACAATGAAAATCACCTAACATTCCAAACCGGAGCGCCGATCATGATTAGCGAGAGATTACGCGTACGATCTATGAGGCTTAGATATTACTGCTAGAAGGTTCTAACAATAATAATGCAAACGTAAGATAGAGAAGGTTCGGGAAGGAATAAGGAAAACTAAATGTTTAGCGAAGGGAATGAAAAGATTAGCATGATCAACGAAGTAGTTTTTAAGATTTAGAAAGAATAGTAGTTGCGCAATTCCAAAGCCTCTATGTCGTTCAAAGTTTTAGACATTATAAAAGAGCTGTAGTCTCGCCTTTGTAAAGTTAAGTAAGTTCCTTAGGAACAACAATAAATTAATAAAATAATAATAATAACAATTATTTAATCCCACTCTGCATAACGATCCAATTGAACTTGTGTAAAACTCCTTAAATCATAAAACATATTTTTATCTGCTAAATCATCTTTGTCACGCCTCTGGCGAGCTGTCTTATCGTATCACTTTAAGTTTTCTTTTTATTTATAAATAAAACGTACAATTTACCCTGTAACAATACCTATGATTACATCGAAGAATATGGGTTTAAATTTCGAGCGGAGAGAAAAGATATGAATATTTCAAGAATTTATTTTTTGGATGTTAATGATAATCCAATTGGAAGACCCAAAGGTCTTCGATGTTAAGATAACACGACGGGTACATCTGTTGCTTGCGATAATCTAAACGGTGTAGACTGTTTTTTGATAACTTGGTTTAATAATTATTCAATTTTTTATTATGATGATTTAATTAAAACAATTTCGAATCAAAGACAACAATCATTCATGACTCCAATCTCTCGAAATAAAACAAAAGGAAAGAGATAGAAAGGATTAGTATTTTTACATTAAATCATATTAAATAAACATTTGATTATATAATGTGATCAAACTAAAATAAAACCGAATAAAAAAAAATGATATTTATTACTGTTTAATTATACTATCTTATACTAGTATATCGAAATATACAAAAATACATATCGAACAACAAATTATACAAGCTCTCAAAGATAGAAACCACTGAATTCGACTTAAAAAAAAGTTAATGGTTTCTATCTTTGAGAGCTTGTATATCAAATAAATAAATTTATTTAATCTTAATAGTGTAATCCGTATAAGTTGAAACATTTACGCGTGGGTGTTTTTATAATATTATCACCAACCATGTGTTTTATTATTGTTTTTTTTTTTTTTGTAGGTTATCAATGTTAATATCGATATTCAGAAGGATTTTTTGGTAGATGTGAACATGGATACTAATCAGTTGAACTATGAAGAAATCTTAGAGACGTACGATATTTACTTTTTTGTTTCTACCATCGATGATATTAGAGTGCTTTTAAATTAGTAATTGTTCTGATATGGATTAACAGTATAAGGCATGTGGTTGTTGCCAGCAACCTTGTTGGCTAAATATTCCAAAGGACGTATGTTTACTTATTAAAATAAGTTTGGAGTATTTAGAGTAATTAATTAATTAATTATATCTATTATGTAGAAATTGTTAGAGTTCGTCGCAGTGGCAGGGAGAAAAGTGTAAAGATTCTCGATGAACCAACACAAGTATTTATATTAAAAAAGTATCCAGTTGAGGAATTGATTACTAAAGCACGTTTTTGTACGTTTTTTATATTACTTAAATTTTATAAACATTATCATTATCTAATAAATATTAATTATTTAGTCATCTATGAAGGTGAAATCATCAGTTAATCCTTCCCTAAGATAAACATATCGTTTATGTTTATATTGTATGAGCAGTTTGTAATAAATGTTCAAATCAATTAAATAAAATATTTTCATATTGGCATATCGTAAGATCACTCATTGTAAGATTTTTACTTGTATAAAAAAAAAATAATAATAATAAAGACACTGTAAAATCGTAGTAAATCTAGTGCTCAGCAAAATCAAACTTTTGTTTCACATTTAAATACATTTTATTTTGCCGAGCATTAACCAAGACTACAGAAGTAACGCAAAGAAAAAGGCGAATAAATTTAATATTCTAATGTGTTGGACAAAAAATCTTGTTAAAACGTTAGGGGATCGTATTAATTATCTTAAGGAGGAAGCTAGAAAGACAGATATACAAGAGTAATTTCAAATAAAAGAAATAAGTGTTATATCTTAAATTGATTATTTTCCAATAAGGACTCTTAGGTATATCGTCTTGAGTAATTTATCTAATTGATCATTTGACTTTTCTTACTAATTTAAACAAAATAGATACACATGATTTATTAACATTATAAACAAATAATCTTTATTAACTGTGGTACATCGTCTAGAAACATTGAAATAATAAATATCAAAATACATTTACACATTGACTATAAATTTATATCCTTCACATTGTTGGCTCTCATAATTTTAAGGAAAGTATTCTATTGTTAGTACAAAAGTTGTTAGTATAGAGCTAATATAATATTACAATGAGAATTTCAACAACGTATATCATAAACAACGGGTCACACAAGACCAGTCTAAACACTATCCAGCGTTTTCGTAACGATAGTCTACATTGCAGTATTAATCATATAATCAACATGAATGATCTAAATTATCAATACTCACTCAGTCAACGTCTTTAAATTTATACGAACAAAATTCTACGATTATAGTTTCTCCTTGTTTTTTATTTATGTCAATCCCTGGGAAATAAATGGTAGTTGTTGGTATGCACGATTAAGTATAGTTTGTCATATTCGTACTCGAAATAACAATAACGATAACGCTGTTCTTGAAAATTATCAAGAAGCAATAGGGTGCCTCAACCTAAGTTTGAGTAGAATTCGTCGTGAGTTGAGGCGTGCCAAGGACGGGTATGAAGGTGCCCGAAGGACAATACTGGCATTGAAGGATGATAATCGCGAATTATTGTCCTTCAATGCCATTTACGTAGGGAGGTTGATGTATTAAGAGATGAAGTAGACGAATTTATGAGGGAAAGAGATGCTTTAAGACAATACATTCTCGCTACTTTTCGTGGTCCCGCTCAGCCTTGGTTTACATATTGTAAGTTCGCCTCTACTAATTAGACATCCCTTTTATTATACAATAGTGATAAAAACACTATCATCTATAGTCGGTGTAAGGTTGATGATACAAATTAATATTTTTAAATTTGTATCAACTATAAATAATAAATTATGAAACATTGCACCACGTACGCATAAACCTGAAATTTTATAAAATAAAAATTGATTTTCTGAAGATCGTTTTTTTTTCAATTTCCATTTTACAAACGCTAATTTAAAAATGAATGCAAACGAATTATACAACCTGGGAATAAAATATTATTTCGGAACCGATGTCGAAAAAGATGAGCATGAGGCTTTCGAATATTTTCAAAAAGCCGCAGACATGGGTCATACTGATGGAACATATATGGTTGGTTATTGTTACGGGAAAGAATTCGGAATTGAGAAGGATGAACGTAAGGCATTCGAATATTACCAGAAAGCAGCAGACATGGGTCATGCCGATGGAACATATTTGGTTGGTTATTGTTATGCAAATGGAATTGGAGTAGAAAAGGACTGGCATAAGGCATTCGCTCATTATCAGAAATCTGTTGATATGGGTCATGCTAGTGGAGTGTGTAATATCGGACACTGTTATCTTCATGGACGGGGGGTTAAAAAAGATGAGTATAAAGCATTTGTTTATTTTAAGAAATCTGCTGATATGGGAAGAATTAGTGGGATAAATATGGTTGGTAATTGCTATCGAAATGGAATTGGAGTAACAAGAGACTTAAAAAAAGCTTACGAATGGCTACAAATGTAAGTTATTTGTATTTATTTTGATTTATTTTTAATAAATATAAGTTAATAAGTTTATTTAGAGAACGGAAGCAAACTTTAAGTAATAAGTTTTATTATTTATTGTTTTTTTTTTAAAATATCATTTTAATAATCTAATGATTAAATGTTTATTAGAAATAAATAAGCAAATACATGATTTAGATATTGATTATAATTTAAAAGAAATATTAGAAAAATGTAAATATCTGTTGTGGATTCCATATAATGAATTCGAAGATATTAAAGAGATAGGAAGAGGTGGTTTTGCTACTGTTTATTATGCTAAATGGCGTAGTTCAAGACTAAATGTCCGAACATCTGTTGCACTTAAAAAACCATATAATAAATCAGATCATGAAAAGTTTTTAAAAGAGGTAATTTTATTTGTGTTAACGTATTTTAAATTTTTAATTTTACATTCTGACTTTTTATTCTTATTAAGTTAAAAGCTTATTGTGACATTGGTGATAAAAACCCAACTTTCTTAAGATGTTATGGAATAACAAAGGATAATTCTGAAAATTATATTCTTGTTACTCAATATGCTGCGAAAGGATCTTTACGTAAAAATCTTGAATTTATATTACAAATGGATTGGAAAAACAGATTACAATTATTACATTGTATTGCGTTTGATCTTGAAATAATCCATTCTCAAAATCTTATTCATCGAGATTTACATAGTGATAATATATTGGTAACTCAAAATTTATGTAGTGCATATATCATTGATTTAGGGCTTTTAATACATAATTTTGAAAAGACAAATAATGGTGTTTATGGGATTTTACCATATATTGCACCTGAAGTTTTAAATGGAGAACAATACACAAAATCATCTGATATTTATTCTTTTGGAATGATAATGTGGGAAATCTTGTACGGGATGTCTTTATCTTATGATTGTAAGTTTAGTAAACAGCAACTTCAGTTAATGATATGTCATGATGACTTGAGACCACCCGTTAACGAAAAAGCCCCACGATGTTATGTAGATTTGATGAAACAATGTTGGGACAAAAACCCCGAAAACCGACCAATGGCTGAAAGACTCTATGAAATTATTACAAAATGGCAGAATGACGAAGATATTTTGTCGGAATTTAATAATTCCAAGATAATCCTTGAAAATATCGAAAGATCGTACGCGGAAATGTTTAGTGGCGGAAGCAGACTTATTTCTTATACTGCGTCAATTTTAAGCATTTGTGATAGTGAATTACAAGATTTGACAATCAATGATTACTGATTTTTTTTTTTTTTTGTGATTTTTTGTTTATAAAATACTTTGGGTTTCGCAATTTCTCGCTGTGGCCAGTTTGCTAATTGACTAATTAAATTAAATATTTACGTAACACACATTGCTATAATTAATTGTTTCACATCCAATTATTGGTAGGCGATACATCACTTCCTAAATACTTTATTAAATTTTGTCCGTTGAGATTTTAATATAGATCCGTATCTGGGTATTAAACTTTAAGAAAATTGTTATTGTACACTATATGTTTAAGAAATATGAATAAACTTTTTTTTTTGAAAATACTTAAGATAAAATATATAAGATACATTTTTATGATTATGAAAAAAAAAAAAACTTTGTTGTCTATTTTAATTGACAGTAATTTTGTAATTGCTTATTTAATTTATTTCATTACTTTTATCACTTAAATTACATTCTTTGTTGTTGTTAAGAACGACTTTTGATATAATCATAACGATAATGAGTTTATTTAAAGAAGGTACAGTATTATAATTAGTACTAAATTAACAAGAAAAAAGATAAACAAAATTACAAATTAACCCAAATGAGCAATTTCACCAACCTTGTTTTATGTTATAAATCTTATTATACCCTGGTCACTATATCAAGATTGCAGGGCATAAATCAGTTATACACTGGGTTCTTTGTTTATAAGCGGAATGAAATTCCGCTTATACGTACCCAAGACACCCAGTATATAACTATTACATATTAAGTGAAAAATGATCCTAATCTTATTCTAAATTGATAGATGTAAAAGAATTGCTTTCAAAAAAATTGTCAATTTGGGCCCTTTTCTCAGCACCTATCCTATATAGAGCTTAGATTCGGGATGCATGAGCATGCAGATATTTTGTAACAAATAGAATTAATAATAAATAAATAAATACATAAATATAGAAAAAGAACAAAAGAATCCGTTTATTAAACACAATATTTTCTTCGAAATTAATGGAAAGTGAAAGTTACAGATAGACAAGCAATTTATTTGTCTAACTAATTTATTTACAACATTGTTTAAACTAGGCGTTCGTGCACGCAATAAATTCATGCATGTGCAACTTCAAAAGATTAAAGTACTACAAAACAACCTACGTATAAAATTTTTATTGTAGTTAAATAACTATAATTAAATTTTGTTAGACATTACAAATCCCTTTTGAATCAAAAATATTACACATTGACATAATACCAAGTTTAATTAATTACTAAATTTGTAAGTTGCATAATTCGTTGAAATACGTATGTATACATGTGGAAATTTTCCACTTGTTTCAATTAAATAAACCAATGTTTTAATTACAAAACCGAAAACCTCTTTCTACTAGGTCAAAGTATTACGATAAATGGTCTAATAAATTTTAAATTTCGCTAAAAAAAAAAACAAAAAAAGAATTGAGTTGTGACAATAATGGCATCAGAATATAAAAAACTATTTATTGTCATATTTTGTCTATTAATATGTAAAATTTCTTTAGCTAATAAACTAACAAAACGTGATCTTACCTCATGTCTTGCTGATGTACAAGGTAAAAAAGTATATCCCACTGATCCAGAATATAAAACCAATATTATAGATGAAAATACTCGTGTAAATTTTACGCCATCTGTGATAGTATATGCCAATATAGTAGCAGACGTTGAAGTTTCTGTATATTGTGCGAGTACTCTTAATATTAGCATTTCGGTCAGATCTGGTGGACATTCTTACGAAAAATATGGTTCTATTGGTGCAATAACCGTAGATATTACGAATTTAAACCAAACTATAATAAATTCAACAACAAATACTGCGGTTATCGGTGCTGGAAGTAGAATAGGTCCTATTTTTTATGCTTTAAGTCAAGCCGGCTTTTTTATTCCACTTGGAACTTGTCCAAGTGTCGGTATAGGTGGTCATGCATTGGGTGGTGTGAGTAATTATTCTTATATTATCTATTGAAATGTGTGCATTCTATTTTTACCATAGTCAATCTAAATAATAGGGATACGGACTATTTGGAAGAAAATATGGACTCGCATTAGATAGTATACTTTCTATAGACCTTGTTAACGCTACTGGAAAACTTATAACTGTAAATGCTGACACGTACACAGATTTATTTTTTGCTCTCCGCGGAGCCGGTGCTAATAACTACGGAATAGTCACTTCATTTACATTCAAAATTTATCCTGCTCCTCCTAAAGTTACATCTATCACATTGAAATATAACCTTACCAATATTCAACCTGTTTTTGACACAATTTCACAACTTGGTCCTACGCTGTCTGATGATATATCATTCACATTAGTTATAGACAATGGTGAGGCGAGCTTTGAAGGTGTTTACCTAGGACCACAAGCAGATGCACAACAAGCTATGAGTCAATTTATTTCACTTTCTCAGCCTACTGCTACTACAAATCAATTTATTGAAGAAACATTGTTTAATAGCGTTGTAAGATGGGGATTTCAAGGAACAAATGGAACAATAAATCCATATCATACTCCTAATAACTTTAAAGCAAAGTCTTTTTATGTTAAATCACCTGGACTTTCAGCACAAGGAATTCAATCACTCTTAAGTTTTATTAAGGGTCTTCCCACAACTTGTCCGACATTTGCAGAATTTGATCTATATGCAGGTGGGGCTGCTAATAATGTTGCAGCAAATGCCACGGCGTTCGTGCATCGGGATGCACTTTATACTATTCAATTATATACAACATTAAATGGAGATAATACGACGAATTCACAGTGTCTTACTCGATTAAATAGTTTTGGAGAAGCTTTTCAGTCAAATTACACTGATTATACTAGTTATCAGAATTATATTGATCATGATTTATCAGATTGGCTGAACAGATATTATGGAAGTAATTTGCCTGCGTTAATTACCGCAAAAAAAGTATATGATCCTAATAACGTATTTAATTACATTCAAGGTATTCCAATGACTTATAATGCTACCAATTCATTTCAACCTATATCATCTTCGACTGTTAGCCCAGGTTCAACTTCGAATAATTCAACTTCTAATAATTCAAATATTGGAGCGATCATCGGAGAAACAATTGGTGGGATCGCGGGAATTGTAATAATATCAACTGTTGCAATAATTATTATTCATAAAGTTAAAAAAAAACACCCAATTCATTAAAGAAAATACCGCACAGCGCTAAGTACAATACCCCTATTTAAATAGTAGATTTTATTATGTTTAGGCCATTTGAAATTAAAAATTCGTCCAACGTTTTCTTGCCCTCCACTTCTGAAGCTTCCCTTAAATCAAACAACAAGAGGCATATTGGTAAACCTCGGAAAGCTAGACAAACAATCAGTATTAAACACGAGCATGTCGGGATTTATCGGGTTTAAATAAAGTTTGGTTCAGATTTAGGCTCAATTGAACCTTAAGTTTGGATCGTTTAAAATTATTATTTGTTTAATTTTTCCTTCTGCACAAAACCAAAAAAAAAAAAAAAAGTTAAATGAAAGTTTAAATTCCAAAGGCTTTAATATCCCATTTTTATATAAAGATTATATATAGTAGTTGGTAATTAAGCCAGATACCTAAGACAGGTACCGAAGCCAGTTACTTAATTCGAGTACCTACTGTATAACCACGAAATAATGCTCCTGGGCGTTATTTTGAAAATTGGAACCTTCAGAAATAGTATGCATAGCTCAAATTAGCGCCCATGATGTCCCGAATTGATGCTTATTAAAAAGAAATATTACATATACAATGCTTTATTATAAAATCGGACATGGGTGTCCAGAATTAGCGCGCAGGGTACATTATTTCGCGGTTATACGGGTAAGCCAGGTACGTATGTACGTACATAAGCCTGGTTGTCCAAGGTAGGGTCATGGGTTGTTCTCGTGATAATACCCTTTGCATGACTATCTTAATGCAATGGGTCAGAGTGAGAATTTACACACAAACATAGGATAGGGCTTAGATTCGAGTGCATGAAATACGGGATGCATGCAGATATTTTGCAACAAATATAATTAAAAATAAAGAAATATATTAAAAGAACAAAGTCGAACCCATTATTAGACACAATATTTCTTTTGAAATCAATGGAAAAGTGAAAGATTTCAGATAGACAAACAATTTATTAGAGATGTTGTCGGCTCCAGCCGCTGCTTGATACAGAGCCACTATCAAGCCAAGCCTTAAAATCATGATTTAAACCAGAAAAATATGGCTTTCGACTTTGGCTTTCAGCCATAGCCTGAGCCAAGCTGGTAAACTTTAGCCATGTTTTTGAAGCCGGCTTCAGACGTAGCCGATTTAAGTCCTGTAGCTTCACAATAGCTTAAGCCATAGTTAGTAGCGGCTCAGAAAATTAAGCCATGACTTAACGGCTTGGTAACTCAAGCCATGATATATGCATTGCTTGGCTGCACCATGGCTATTTATGCTATGGCTTGACTTCGACTATGGCTTTAGTAAGCCAAGCCGAGCCATTCCATCTCTACAATTTATTTGTCTGATTTATTAGCAACACTGCTTAAATTAGGCGTTCATGCATACAATAAATTCACACATGTGCAACTTCAAAAGATTAAAAGTATAAAACAAACTATTAAATTTTTTTTTATTATAGATTACTATAAAAAGTTTTCATAAATTTTGTTGGACATTACAAATCCCTTTTGAATCAAAAATATTACACATAGGCATAATACCAATTATAATTATTACTAAATTTGTAATTAAAAAGTTTTCAAAGCAAATACGTACCAGATACATAATACGTTAGTAAAATTTTATGTGGAAATTTATCGCTTCTTTGTAACACGTAATTTAGATACAATAAATCAATGTATTATTACAAGACCGGAAACCTCTTTCTACTAGGTCAAAGAATTACGATAAATGGTCCCATAATTTTTAAATTTCCCTAAAAACAACAAAAGAATTGAGTTGTGACAATAATGACATCAGAATACAAAAAATTATTTATGGTCTTTTATATTTTATTTTGTCTATTAGCATGTAAAATTTCTTTAGCTAGTAAACTCTCAAAACGTGATCTTACCTCATGTCTTGCTGATGTACAAGGTAAAAAAGTATATCCCACTGATCCAGAATATAAAACCAATATTATAGATGAAAATACTCGTGTAAATTTTACGCCATCTGTGATAATATATGCAAATATAGTGGCAGATGTTCAATTGTCAGTATTACGAAAAATATGGTTCTATTGGTGCAATAACCGTGGATATTACGAATTTAAACCAAACTATAATAAATTCAACAACGAATACTGCGGTTATTGGTGCTGGAAGTAGAATAGGTCCTATTTTTTATGCTTTAAGTCAAGCTGGCTTCTTTATTCCACTCGGAACTTGTCCAAGTGTCGGTATAGGTGGTCATGCATTGGGTGGTGTGAGTAATTATTTTTATATTATCTACTGAAAAATATTCGTTCTATTTTTACCATAGTCAATGTAAATAATAGGGATACAGACAATTTGGAAGAAAATATGGACTCGTATTAGATAGTATACTTTCCATAGATCTTGTTGACGCTACTGGACGTCTTATAACTGTAAATGCTGACACGTACACAGATTTATTTTTTGCCCTCCGCGGAGCCGGTAATAATAACTATGAAATAGTCACTTCATTTACATTCAAAATTTATCCTGCTCCTCCTAAAGTTACATCTATCACATTAACATATAACCTTACCAATATTCAACCTGTTTTTGATACAATTTCACAACTTGGTCCTACGCTGTCTGATGATATATCATTCTCATTAGTTATAGACAATGGTGAGGCGAGCCTTGAAGGTGTTTACCTAGGACCACAAGCAGATGCACAACAAGCTATGAGTCAATTTATTACACTTTCACAACCTACCACTACTACAAATCAATTTATCGAAGAAACATTGTTCGATAGCGTCGTTAGATGGGGATTTCAAGGAGCAAATGGTACAATAAATCCATATCATAGTCCTAATGACTTTAAAGCAAAGTCTTTTTATGTTAAATCACCTGGACTTTCAGCACAAGGAATTCAATTACTCTTAAGTTTTATTAAGGGTCTTCCCATAACTTGTCCGACATTTGCAGGATTTGATCTATATGCAGGTGGGGCTGCTAATAAAGTTGCAGCAAATGCCACGGCGTTCGTGCATCGGGATGTACTTTATGTTATTCAATTATATACAACGTTGAAAGGAGATAATACGATGAATTCGCAATGTATTATTCAATTAAATAGTTTTGGAGAAGCTTTTCAGTCAAATTACACTGATTATACTAGTTATCAGAATTATATTGATCATGATTTATCAGATTGGCTGAACAGATATTATGGAAGTAATTTGCCTGCGTTAATTGCCGCTAAAAAAGTATATGATCCTAATAACGTATTTAATTACGTTCAAGGTATTTATAGATGCTGGTGAAACTGGTGAAACTCTTGGTGAATGGTGGTGAATGGTGGTGAAACTGGTGAAATTTAATATAACAACCAATCACATTTTAGATAGTCACCAGTTTCACCAGCATTATTTAGTTTCACCAGCATCTATAAAGGTATTCCTTTGGTTTAGTACAAATTACAAAGTTTCATGTAATCTATTGAATTTTTTTTTTTTGTTTTTTAGAAAATCTTTTAGATGTAAATTAGTAATTTAATTCTTCATGACTCGTTCTCATACAATAAATAAACCCAATAAATACATCAAATGTTAAGGCTCTAGTTCTTTACATTAATGTAAAGAAAAAAATAACTTATTTTTACCTATAAACAAAATATTACATCAAAACTCATATAACATAAATTTTACCAAAATATTATATGTATTGTCAGAGGGAAAACCGGTCATCACCAATCAACCAAAAACACAACAACAACGATACCCGAAACGATTATAGAGGCGGATTCGATTTGGCAAGGTAAGGCTTGTTTCATGTACAGTACGTTGCGCGGGACAGCACTGGACTTCGATTAAACTTAAGGTAACGACGACCCTTTTCTTTTCTTAATACGACAACTGTTTTTATTAAAGGTAAACGACAGACTTTTTATACAAGAGAATTACATTTGGGACTTTTACCCAATATGATTAAATTGAGTATTCAGGGGGGGATCTGCAAGTGACTGATTGAACTCCCACCATTTGAATCCCAGAGGCATCATGCGATTTTCAACCGAGCTTCGCCTTGAGCCAAACCCAAGATAGCATTTGATTAATGCTTCTATCATATGCCGATTGGAGGTCTTGGGCTTGAGGCTTAGCTTGGTCCGGGTCATGGCTTGTCACGTTTCTCACGTGCCTTCGCTAGGTCACGTTTTGCCTCTAACAGTATATAATTTTTAGAAAAAATGTTCTTGTCACCGGCGGTGACAGTCCCATGTGTAACGTAAAATCAAAACAATCATAACATAAACACATCTCGATTTATTAACTTTAGGGTTAGGGCTTAGGGTTAGGGTTAGCGAAGACTTAGTTATAGTAAAATTTTACAAGGAATTTTTTTTGTTAGAACACAAAAGGCATTTGCTTCGTTTTTACGTTACACGATCAGGTGTAACGTTACACCTGATCTTGCATTCTCATTGGTACGATTGGTCCGGGAATGTCACCGCCGGTGACAAATAGATTTACTCTAATTTTTAAAGATTGCATAATAATTTCGTTGTAAAATATCACAGCAAAAATCACATGATCATATAATCTCTCTCGAAGTTATACAATGAAAAGAATATTTTAACAAACATGAAAGTGTTAGTTATAATATATTGGTCATAATTACATAGTGCTAGTAAGATGCAGACGATTTATACTACTATGAATAATTACTGCAGCTGTTAATATTATTACAAGTCCAGCAATCGTTCCTACGATAATCGCTTCAATATTAATATTTGATGAATAATTAATCGAAGATGGTATGTATAGGTTGAATTGAATTTGTAGGATTATAAGTTGCTACCCATTTATAATTATCTTTATTACTTATATCAAGAAGAAATATTCCAGATGAAGAAATATTCAATTCTGTTGAATATCCTGGATATGAATATGCATTTTGAATTAAAATAATAAGTCTACCCATTCTTTTCTTGCCGTGTATTGTGATCGTTTTTTTTATAATAAAAAGATACTTGCCAAATGCGATAAGAACATAGGCACCAATTAACATAGAAGTATGAAGTTTCAAATTCTATAAAGAACCACCAGTATATGAAATTGCAGGCTTTGACCAGGTAAATGTCGAAGTATCAAGTAAATTAATTGTAGTATCTTGATTTCCATAAAATAATAAAACTCGATTATATTGTGCTATTTAATTAATAAAATTAGTAAAATTAAAACACTTTTTAATAAGATCCTTAACGAATATAGACTGATGAATGGCCACATTTTCAGTAGGGATTTGGCCAAATATAAGCTAAGTTTATTAATAATAAATTAAATATAGTGTAATCTATTAATTAATTTGACATATAATCAATTTGAAATTAGCAGTTGTTTGTTAAACCTATAGCCAAAGAAAGGTCAAACCAGGGCATTGAAGATATGTTAACTATAAAGGTATTGAAACATCAAGATAAAATAATTGGTTATTTGCATAGGAATAGGTTAAATTATCTCATCCACCATTAAAGTAAAGTTTTTTGTCAATAATAATTGCATTTCTTTCTCCCTATCTTGAGGAATAAATTCAAAGATGCAAGGCAACTCTTCCCATCGATCCTCTGACCACTTTTTTCCGAAAAGAAAACCCGACCTGTGAAAACACTTTTTTATTATACAGATAACAATATTCTTTCCTAAGTGTTCTACGACGTATTGTGGGTGAATACCTTCCTTGCAAGCTCTTTTTAGCCGCATTATCTAGAAGTAATTTCTTGGGTACTATCGAAAAAGTAGTAGC